CCTCTGGTGAGTGCAGCTGCCCCTAGTGGACCCTTTGCTCCTGACCAGCTGGATGATAGCAGGAAGTTCAGGCCTAGTGGGGCGGCGAGCAAGATGACCTACAATCTTGTGATACTGGATGGGAAGGAGGATTATCTTGCCGATAGGCGAGAGATCAATCCAGAGTTAAGGGAAACGGGAGTTATCCCTGATGAGGCCGTCACTTGCCAGATTGTGGTTCCCTCGAAGACGAGGTTGGGTGAATACCTCCCGAACTACGAGGAGACCGTGGGCACTGTTGCAGGACGGGAGGCGGCGAAGGAGTTGATGAGACTGCTCTCGTGCGATTTCGACGGCTTGGTCATCAATTCAAAGAGAGTCTCGGAGTTATTCGAGGAACGTGTGCTGAAGGAGACCGGACGTGAGGCTGGAAACTGGGTGAAAAGTGACCAGGCCATCTGGTTTCTGAAGGAGATTTCGGGCATGGAGAACGCTGAGATGTCTTGGAAATTCTTCATTCCGACGCTTAAAGCTTTCCCGATAGGGCAAGTGGAGGCGATGCTCATGGTCATGTACGACGGGGATGGCGTTCTCCTCAAGGAGAGCACCAGGTTGGTTGCCGTTAGGCACACGCGGATCGGACGCGACTTGAGTTACAGTGCCGTTAGGCACAGGTATACTCAGGAAGATGCACCTGGCGGATCTCTGATGTATGAGATGCATTGGAATGAACTCCCCATGGTGGGATACGTCATCATGAAGTTCTCGGACTTTCGGAAGGCGGTTCAGCTCCAAAGGGTGAGGCGAAATGGAAAGGCCATGATCGAGATATTGATCACGAGGCCCGATGTGTACGAGACCATTGGGGATGGTATCGCCTTCGTGGTATGTCAGGGACAGGCTGCGGAACTACTCCGGTAGGTACGTGGTGGTAATGGTGGATCTTCGGGTGCACTGGTCCTTGGTTGGACCCGTGTTTTTGACGAGAAGGAAGACTCTTGCCGTTAGGAACGAGATCCACATGGGGGCTTGGAAGGCGGCGTATATGTACGATGATTACACGATAGTGTACCATCGGGCATGGGACTACGGTGACTTCACCCCCGTTAGGGGAGAGCACAAGCGATCACGGGAAGAGATCAGGCTGAATGTGACTGCCACGTTCTGCTTGAGGTGCGCGGAATTGATGCCGAATGGGATGCACTTGTGTCCCGGGTGCGCGCTCCCGGTCTTTTACCCGAACTTTATCCCCAACGCGGAGGAAAAGGACTTCGAAACGTGCCACATCGTGCCGGAGTGGGTGAGGACCATGGGGCAGTTCAAGCCCAGGAGGATTCCCTCCGAAGTGGTCGGAGTCATCAAGAGGAATTTGATTTCCTATTCAATGGCATCCGATCTAAGGATGACGGTGCAGAGCGGCATCAGACTTCCCCCTTATCTTGGTGAAGACAAGGGAGGTGTCGATGCGGCGTGGGATGAGCTGGCGAAGGTGCTCTTCCAATTCTCCTATGTGTCCGGGATTTCGGCCTCGGATGCGTTTGTGGAGAAGTGGGTGGCGAAGCACCTGATCAAGACCAACCAAGTCGATAGATTTGAGTCGGTCACGGAGTACTTCCGGGCCAACCCAAGACACGCTGCTCAGTGGGGCAGGCGTATGACGACTTCCGTTAGGAAGTTCGCTCGTCATGACACGTACTTGTCATTCTATATTCCGATGGCATACGTGATTGGTTCTGCGGCTGGTCATCTGACCCCATTGTACCCGACCCATCGAAAGGACGTGGACATCCTGGAGAGTCATGCGTTGATGTCGCAGCTCAGGGAGTACATGGTATCGGAGACAGGGTATGATGAGAAGAAGAGGTTGAAGGAGGCGATAGCCAAGGTGCAGAAGGCGATCAGCGCCGGACAGTCGGAGCCTCCCGCACCCTTCCGTGACCCGTTCGTCTACGTTAGTGACGAAAGGGTGAGGACGGTTCTTGACGGTCGTCAACCCGAACCTTTGAACGTGGACATCGAGGGACTCCAATCGGTGCATCATGCTGCGCCGGGTCCTGGTCCCAAGCAGGAGCCGGTCCCCAAGGGCGGAAAAGGAAAAGGGAAAAAGGGGGAAAAGGGCGGTAAGGGCGGTAGTCCTTCCGGCCCGCCACCAAAATCAGGTGAAGTGCCGGGTAAAGGATCCGGTAAGGGCGGTAGCCCATCCGTCCCAAAGGCGAAGGATGACGCTGGACCTGCTCCGATGGAGGTTGATGCAGCAGCAGCTCAGCCGAAGAAGTCTTGGGCCGAGATGGTGGTTGAAGGGGCCAGGCCGAGTGCCAAGGCTAAAGTGACCCCGGTTCCTAAGGCAGAGCCGAAAGGGAAGGCTGCTTCGGCATCTGAGGCGAGGAGTGCTCCGGCTCCAAAAGCTGTGGCTAAGGAGACAAAGCAGGCCGAACCGAAGGTTGAGGTCAAGAAGGAGAAGACAGGCGGAGGTGACGCTCCCGGCGGTAGCCGCGGGTCGGCCGAAGGGCAGAAGAGAGAAAGGAAGTCCCGTTGGGATCCCGACGAGGCTGCGAAGGAGTCGACAAAGCGGGAGGCATCCACGAGGCCTGGCGACGTCGACAGCAGACCAGGTGCGGCAGCGAGAGAAGCTAGCGGGGATGATCTTCACTCCGCGCTTGGCAGATCTTCGGCAAAGGATGCGGTAGCGCCTTTGACTGCCTCCAAGGCGATGGCAAAGAAGCCTGAAGGCGGGGAGATCCGGCTGCAGTCTGCTGAGCGGGCCGCGGCGAGCCCGGTGGAGGGTCACTTCCTGGTGCTGCCTGAGAGTTCGGTGGTGGACGCTTTCTTGACGATCTCCACCAACAGAGTGCTGAACAAGCAGGTTAGGGATTTCATCAGAAATGGTGAGGACGCGTCGGCACTGGAAGCTCTCAACCAGATCGTGACGAACTCTCAATCTGGGAGGAGGCGTAGGGAATCGGATGTTTCCCGTACTCCTTCTCGGAGGTCCGTTAGGACCGTGGACACCAGGGATTCCAGAGAGTCGAGGAGGCGCAGATACCGTCCGCGGCGCGAGGATGATCGCGACAGGAGGAGGGACGATGCTCGTGATCGTCGTGATGATGATTCACTCGATCGGGAGCGGGATCGAAGGCGAGATGATCGCAGGAGATCCGAAAGGGATCGTGATAGGGACCGTGCGCGGGGCGGACGTGACCGGAGGAGACGTGACGATAGCCGGTAGGCTGAGTCACGAGGATTGCGGCCGATAGGCTTGCGTCCGTTCTCCAATGGTCGGCGCGGTGTGGAGGTGGTGATGTTCCTCCCGGACCGCTGAGGCGCGGAGGTCATGTCTCTCCCGTACCGCTGCTGAGCTGCTGGACGTGCTCATCCGGAAGCAGTATGAGTGAGAGGGAAAGCAAACTGATGGGGGGTTACTCCCGGGTTTGCGGAATTCAAGCATTTTTCAGGTACGCATGGTCAGGGGTACCTCTTGCCGTTAGGCGAGGGTACTAATGGACATACGTTATCTTTTATTTCATGGCTTCTGATAAGAATTAAACTTCTTGCATTGTTGATGCAAACAGTTGTGACCTAATGTCGTCATGTGGACTTTTCCACAAGGTTTGTTGGACAGCGTTACCCCGATTAATTCGGGGTGGTGGCGGGAATTTAATGCCCGGGATGTCGCGCAACTGCCTTTGTGGGTTTGCTCCACCGCTGACGGCGGTAGTGTCCAGCTGTTTGCGGACGCATGCGAGCAGTTAAATCCTATCAGTAAATGGCACGCTCCACCCGTCATATGACGGGCTCCTCGTGAGGGGGGTGTGATTAGCCATGGTTCATATCATCATCAGGGACGTCGCGTTAGTGACCGACCTGTGGTGTTTTGGCTCAAGTTTTGGGTTCCGTCGCGCCTCGAATGGGCGTCGCCGAACCCCTGCGTCGACCGACGGCATCTCGGGGGAGAAAGAGACCTCGGGCCGCCGCCAGGTTGGTAGGGACCAGTCGTGCGGCCTGTTGTCGACCAAGGTTGCGGGTTAACCCTTTTCTTGTTTGGTTTGTTTTCCTTTGGTTGTTGTTCTCTGGTGTGTGGGAAACCCTGATCTTTGGGACCGGGGATTGGTTTGCTTTTGGGGAACCTTTCTTTTGTGGCTTGTTTACCCCAACTTACCCATTGCCTGGGCACAGGCTCGTGCCCGAATCACAGTTATAGCATTGGGTTTACATAAGGATCCCAGTTGCACAGTGGCGCCTTTTTTTTGTGGGGGAAGGGTTCCCAAATCAACTTAACCAACCAGCAAAAATATGCATTTTTCCATGGAAATCCACTGGGCATCTGAGGAATCATGGGCTTGCATTGGGTTTATGTATGATTTTGGTTTAAATGCAAACAAAAAGCTTGGATTTGCTTTGTCCAATCTCCGGAGGCGAAGGATCACATCTTGGTGGATCTGTTTTCTTGTCTCTTGTCCTGCGTTTCTATGGTGGGAGTGTCTTCTGGACCATGTTGTAAATACCAACAATGGTTTCTACATGGTTTCAAAATGATTCGAAATGGTTTTCGTCCATCCACAGTAGGAAGCCGACACACCAAAGGCGTGAAATGGCTGTGAATGAGACACTCTTCACATGCCCAACTGGACTGGGATGTACGACCAAATCCTTCCATATCTTCAGATCGGGCGCCAGAAATGTAAGTTTTGAAGGGGTAAACGGACATACCCAAGAGATCCTTTAAGTAACCACCACACCCGGCCGTGCCGAATCGCTACGCAACGCGGACAGCTCTTTGCCTCCTGGTCATAGGACGGGAGTCGAATCATTCCAGGGTTTCCGAGCGAACGGTGGTGCGAAATGGCCTCCCCAGGCTGCATCTCTGGGGCAAGGGAGCACTCTCCGATTTACGGCTGCCCAAAATTGACTTAAGGAACTTTTAGAATATGCTGCAAAGGGTTAGTTGGGTTGGTTGGGTTGGTTGGCAAGTCTGGTGCAAGAAAGGTTCTGGCCAAAGGGGCAACGCCTGAGTCTTGGCCAAGGAGAACACTGGGCGCTACGCTGCCGCTGCGTTGGAGGTCGCCGCGCAGTTGTCGCTGCCATCGGTGAATTTGTGGAAGCTGATGCAGGCGGGAGATGAAATGGGAATCCAGGAATAAATACCAAGCTTGGTGGTTCCCAGCCATCCCCTCAGATTTTGAGCTCCGTAGTTGGTTTTGTGGTAGTTTCCACTAAGCCACTGAATGTTAGACTTTTAGCAGGGGATTTGGGAACAGCCCAGCAGAGCCCTGGTCGTTTTGTTGTGGGAAGGCTCTACCTCTACCATCCCTTGTGTTAATCTGGGGTAGCGCCCAAGCAATCGCAGTACGCACATGGGATGGATCATTTCTACTGGGAACAAAAACCAGCCCTGAGTCATGTAAACATGAGTTTCAAGCCCACTTTTTGGGGTGTTGGATTCAAACAGTACGGTCAAAGACCGACCTCTTGCTGCCTTGCAAGGCGAGGGCTGACCATAGCTCAGCGCTCCCCAGAAAGCCCGGGGCTTTCCAGCGAACCCTGAGCCAGGCGAACTTAACTTCCCCAAAAGAACAGTTGCTCACTTGCCCAACGCCGACCTTTTGACCTTTTGGTTTTCCCATTTTGGTCCATTTTTAGTAAAGGTCCCAAAAGGTTAACCTTTTATTTCCAGGTCTTTTGGGTGAGTTTGAGAGATGGTTTTTTTTGGTCGGAAACTGGGTGTCTCACAATGGCCTTCAAGTCCCAGTTGCCCGCTGGCGCCCGTTTTTTTTTTTGTTCTCGACTTTCTTCCCCTTTGGACTCAACACACCAAAACAGGATGCCCTTTGTTTCCCCATGGAAATCCACTGGGCATCTGAGTGGTTGGTTTCGAATTTCCTTGCATGCCGTGAACAGAGCCACCTGCACCCGCGCGGCCTCCGGGCTCAGATCAAGGGAAGCCGCTCTTTTGAGGGGGTGTCTTTGCAGGGCACCCCCCCCAAAAAAAAACAACGACAAAAACAAAAAGGATGGTGGTTCGGGCGTATTTCAGGGCACCTTCCCCCTTGCCCCGAAAGAAAAAAAGGATCGTGGTTGTCCTTTCCTTTGCATCCCACAAAAAAAACAGGGTACCCTTTGACAACAGAAAGAGCCTGGTGATTTTCCTCCAAAGGGTTCCCTCAAGTCACAGCTCATCGATTCCCGAAACCAGAGGTTGCAGCGCTTGGATTGCATGAAGGCGGTGGCTGCACCTGTCGCTGCGAATTGAATGGAGGCATCCACTGTAATTGTGTCTCCATGTTGACGTTAAAAAAAGAGAAGCCAGCTTTCACAAATAGAGTTTGCGAAGGCTTCCTAAGTTGTAGTAAGCGTGTCTTGGTAAAAATCCTGTGGTTTCTGGACACACGAGCCATGGACAAACTCTCATGGAGGGGCCATTGTCATCGCTTGTGATCCTTGTGATTTCGTCCATGAACAGTATTCAGTGTTCAAACGTGTTTGTGTTGATGTCCATGTTCCCCCGCCAAAAAAGACAGCTACCCTCCAAAAAGCCGCCGTAGCTCAGGTACCCCTGAGTTGGCGGTTTTTTGGATGGGTGGTTTGAATTTAGATTTGAACCTGGCTCTTGTAGAGGGTGAAACGGATTTCCCACCCATGGACCACCTAACCACAAATCCGAACCAATAATTGAGGTACACCTGAGCAGCGATCCGCGCGCGTGCGCGCGCAGACACGTCAGGAGGTGCCCTTCGATTGGAGCGAGTTCCTGTGCGATGGTCTGCACTTCACCGAGAAAGGCGGCGCCAAGTCTTCCGGAATGAGTTCCCCTAAATAAACTGCCAACAACAGTGTCCATGGCCCGTAGAGCTCAGGTTGGGTTGACGGAGGGGGCCCCGGGACGAACGACTCGAACCATGCAAGTCGGACCTCCTATGTGGAAAAGGGCAACTTTGCACTTCATTGCGAGGTTTTTGTGTTGGCTTAGGTGACTTTTGAACGCTAAACAACCAAGCGGCCGCACAACAAAAACCAGCCTCGCCACAAGTTCATATCACATACTAGGTGATCATCGTGAGGCTCACAATGTTTTCTCAATCCTACTCATGGTGTTGACACATTCTTCTAGTTGATGGGATATAGGCTATATATAGTCGCTTTTCAACCAAGGGTTGTCCACTTGTAGCCACAGTCCTGCCCGAATCGGGCTAAGGAGGAAGGACTGAAAGGAACATGTCTCTCGCTGGTACGTCCCCTCGGGCCACTTTTGCAACAGGCATAGATTGCCACACGTTGAACACTGAATAGGAGAGAAAACTGTTTAAACGCACACCCACAAACTTGAGCAGAGACTATGCGTGCAAGGCAGTCTTCCAACTCCTTTCTCATTTTTTGGTTTACATGTTCTGTTCTGGGCTACAGCATTTCTTGTGGCAGGCTCTCCTGCAAGTGCATTTTTGTCATTTTGCAGTCATGCATCACTCATCGGTTTCGGCGCATGTCCTAGCAGTCATGCGGCACACGGGGAAAACCAGGGAATCCCCTCATTGGTTCGATCCCCACATGTTGGCTAACTATGAAACATGAATCAGAGAATCAATGATTTTGTGTAAAGCGGGCTAAATATGAATCAGACTCGGAGAATCAATGCATATTATATATATATATATATATATGTATGTATGTATACATTGATTCTCTGAGTTCCATTTCATATTTAGCTCACGCTACACACAATAATTATACGTATATATATATATACATATGTACATAGGTGGACCCCAATTTTGTGTGGAAAAAGAGGTACCCTGAAAACGAGACACCCCATTCGGGTGAGGTGGACCTCTATCCGATTCGATCTCATCGATCCGCAGGCAACACCTTTGTGGGCAAGGACGGGCTGCTTTGGCCCTTTTTGTTAGCGCCACAATTTCTACGGCGAGGAAGTGAAATTCGGCAACTTCATGGACTCATAAATCTGTCTATCTCACTCTATCTTTCTATCTAGCTAGCTATTGTTCTATCTATGTATCTAGATACATCTAGTCTAATCTGCTTATTTATTTATCTGATAGTCTATCTTTATTTCTATCTTTTCATCAATCTGCCTATCTACTAGGGCCTTAGGGGGGGGGGGGGACCTGGAGAGGGGGCCATCCCTCAGTACCCCTTAAGGCCTCGAGGGTTTGTCCTTGGAGGCTATGGGGAGGGGGGCTATCCCTGATCAACCCCTTGCCGCCGTATCAAAGGCTTGTCCTGGGCTTCTCCCTGGATAGCCCTCCCAGAATGTCCATCTACTTTTTCCCAAACCATCCTGTCCCGGGGGCTTGTTAATTACGGAAAGACTCTGGTGGGTGTACCCTGAAGACAAACCCAAGTAGCGTGTCAATATTGGATACATCCGGAGGTCCACCCCTTAAGGGCCAAGTAGTCTGTCCGCATGTGCACCCACCAGAATAATGAAACATGAATTCGACCCCTAAAAGCAGTCAAGCCATAAGGAGGTCAGCATTTCGGCCAGACTAAAAGGAAATGGGAGTTGTGGGTTTTGTTTAATCACATTTGGTTTGGTTTGTTGCAAAACCCAATGCTCAGACCATTGCCTTCTCCCTCAAGTTCTTCAAGCATGTCGCGGGGGAGGGCGCATCAGCTTGCTTTCTCAATTTCGATGTGTGTGCTTTTTGGGCACCCCAGTTTTGTTTTTGGGTTTGACACCCACCATTGGGGGAAGGAGGACACACCCATTTGTGTTTGGATCCTTGTCCAAGCTGTCGTTGGCTTTCCGCAGGTTAAATTTGCCACCCTCCAATTGCCAGACTGAACTCGCTGGTTTTCCCTTTGCCTTTTCCTGTGCCAGACTGACTTTGCCGAGTTTGCTGCATGTGGGTGTTTCTTCAGTATACACAAGCCCCGAACGAGGGTGGGTGTGCTGATGATTTTGGATGTCCTCCATTCTGAGAGGCCCGATTTCCTGGATGAAGCAGAAGTGGACAATACGACCATTTCTGTGTTCCTGGAGCCTCCTTCTGACCCACAAAAAATATTTGGTCAAAGGAACAAAAGGAGCAAAAGGAGACTCCAGGTACCCTTGGCCAGGCACCCCTTGCTGGTTGCCAAGAAGTGTTTTCTCAAAAAATGCGCAGGCAGTGCTGAGGGAGATTTCCGCAAGCTTGCCGAATGTGGCCGTGGTGCCCTGCAAGCATACCGGCGCCTACGGCAGCGCGGCAAAAAGAGTCGTCGTAAAAGCAGTGCCCACTGGTTTCAGTTTAGAATCCATGTAGGCCAAAAAAACCTACATTTACCCTCCAAATGGGTCAACTGTTGGTGTATATTGTACTTACATGGATTGGCACTGGTTTTAATCCTGCGCCATCGTTCATTTCCCGAAAGGACACCTAGGGTCGTCGGCATTGCGTTAAAATGGACCCAACACAAGGGGGTCGAATGGCAGGAATCCACCCTTGGAGGGTCAACCAGCATTCCGATTTGGACCAAGAGATTCTCAAAACGTGTGATCCCTTGTTCGTTGGTACTTGAAGGCAAACCAAAATCCGCTACCATTTCGGGCACCGAAGCCTATGTTGAGCACCCAGTTGTAATATGGGATTTGTTTCGAGCATATGTTGCATCAGGTTCAGCAGACGTTTGTGTTGTTTAAGATATGTTTGTTTGGTGTGACATGCTCAGCTTAATCAATGTTTTTCACATTATTAGTCTTGGCTAGTTGCAGAAGCTGAGGTTGCTTTGCTTGGTTGGCTGAGGCAATGTGAAGACCGCTTTCTGTGTTTGTTATGCATGAGGCATGAGTACCGCAGTGTGATGGGGCAAGAATGCGCCGCCAGAAGCAGACAAATTACAGCCAGACTAACGGTTGAGCCACGAGGCTGCCCACTGCTTGCAAAATGGGAACTGCACATCAGCCACCATCTCTAGGTCCCCCAGCAGTGCTTTTTTACCCCTTTTTTGGGGACGGTTCCCACTAAAATAGACTACAGAAAAAAGAGTACCCTTATTCTAACCTCTCTACTGGACGACCTAGATTTGGCTCGATGCTTCTGCCCACACTGAGAGATGGGTTTGCACAAAGTATGGCGATCTTGGTGTACAGCAAGGTTGCCCATCATGAAGGTTCCTTCATTCGGGTTGCTGAAATATACGCATGAGTTTATGGTGCCTGTTAGTGGGATAGCCTGGGTTCAACAGGCTGGCTGGTTGTTTTGGTGGCCACTTGCTAGCCCTCCTTCGAAGCTGACAGGGCTTGGGACTGCTTACCGCGGCCAGGGTGTCCTCCATGTCCCTTCTTGGAACCTCCAAAGTGGCGATCGTTTTCATGGAGCCACCAGTCAGTTGCAACTGCTGACTCGAGCAAATGCAGTCAGCCACTGTTTTCATGGACCCTGGGGGCTATCCCAGGATATGCCCAGGATTAGCTGACAGCCTCAGTATTCCCTTCAGGTACCCCGTGCCCCTGAGACTCGGGCCCCGAGGCAACTCTGGCTCCAGCAGCGAGATCGCGATCGACTGCCCCTTCTGGGACGACCTGGATCTGGAGAACCCCTTGAAATCCTTGGGCGCGTAGCCGTAGCCTTCCAAAAAAAGCACGAGGTGATGTTTGTTTGTACCTGTGGAAGCCCCAAAGGGGGGTTGGCAACAAAAGGGTCTTCCCCATACATTTCGCCACAGGTGACATATTAGTTCACATCATGTGCTCCAACCACTTGTAGTTCCCAAGTGCAAAAAATGTGGCACATGTGCAAGCATTTAGGACGCAAACCAGTCTAGGGACCCTGTGCCCTTCGGGTGAGAGAGCGTCTCACTCAGACTTTCGGCGCGGAACCTGCCGGGAAAAATCGGTGAGCTGGGCTGTGCTGTCCTCCCGGAGATTGTTTTTGTTTGCTTTGCAGGGTACCTCAATGGCAACGAGGCTGCAAAAGTGGGCAGTTTTGAGGATGCACCTGGAGGGTTGGTTTGAAGGGAAAGTGAAGGAACCACTGGCTTCCAGATCCGAAGTAAGCCTGGAAATCGAAGAAGGTAGGAGTCCACCCATTTGGGATGTTCTCCTATTCCACACTTGTTCACTTGGCTGTAAGATTGGGGGTTTTGACTACTCACAGCTGAGACTGCATAGGAGTCCCGGGGAGGCAATAAACCCTCCCAGGTGCCGGCTGTAATGGGTACACGTGTCTTCCATTTCGAACCGGCGCCTCGAACTCGGAACTCGGACCTCGGAACTCGGAGCTCGGCGATCCCACGGACCATGGCAATGGCTTCCTTGTTTGGTAGCTCCCGAAGGCCATCCGGCTCCTTAGCCTTGTAGCTTGGTGTTTAGTAGTGGTTTCCATCTAACCCACTAAAGGTGACTAACTTCCAGCGGGAGATTTGAGGGCAGCCCAGGTTTTGTTAGGCCAAGTAAAAGGAAATTCAAAGAAAGACGTGAGAGGCTAGGTGTCCCGCTGCTTCATGATGCGTTTGTCGGTGTTGTTTTGAGAAAGTTCGCGAGAGAGTCCACCAGGTTGGGATGTTCAACTACCAAAAGGTACCTGAAACAACAAAATACCATTAAGAAGCGTTTTTGCTCGCCAGCATTGTGGAGTGAATTCCCTTTTTTAATGGGTAGTTTGGGGGTCTATAGGTAGGTTGCCACCCAAGTCCAGAGCCACTTGCCCTTCTCAGGTCTCTTCTTATGTGGGGTTGTCTCAACATAGGCCTTGCAAATGTTGCTAGGTGGTCAACTCATGTTCCCCTTTGAAACCCCAAGGGCACCCTCTAAAAAGAGAGACCCCTGGTGCCCTTTGATTCTTCATGGCACAAAATCCCAAGCTGCGTTGGGCAAAGCGCCGGACAGATCACGAGCGCATTTTGCTCAGCAAACTGCCCTTCGATGAGCATGGGGTCCCAATATTCCAACTTCCGCTGAAACGTTCGTTTGAAGGTGGGGTGTGATTGAAGACATTTGTTTGTGAGTATTTGCTTTCTCTACTGCTATTGGGTTGGATCTTTAGACTTTAACTTTTTGGAATCCCCTGGTATTTCCTTTTAACCAGCAAACAGTTTAACGTTTAGCTGGCAAATCTACAGCACCCAAGCTTTAAGCCTAAAATTTGGAAGAGCGACTTTGAGCAACTGGTGCCAGTTCTTTTGCGATTCTTGCGATTCCGCGCGTTGCTTTCGCCCATGGACGCCTGCAGCTGCGGGGAAGAGTCGGATCGGCTGGCGACGGCAACTTGAAGGGACTTGGGAGTCGCCTTTTGGGGACAGACTTAAAGGGAAGCCAAGGGCTGTTCAAACCTTATTTCTTACCTGGGGTTCCGCTAGGGTCCCCTTTTTTAGTGGCTTTCCTACAGGGATTATAGATTCGGGATTGGCCAACCCTCCATTTCGAACAGCCCAGCCAAACGGAAACCGTTGCTGTTTGAGTTCCCCCACAAGCCCACATAGGAGTTGTGTTTTGGTAGTGGAAGCGAGCAAACTGCAGCTTTTGAAATGGACATTCAATACCCTTTGGCTGATTTCTTGTGCTGCCCCATTAAAGCCATCAAAAAGGAGACTCTCTATGGGTGTGTCATTTTTGGGGATACCCATTCCGGAGCTGTTGTCAGCGGAACAAAGGGGACACCACCCATTCTTGGGGTCCCCTCAACTTGAGACAAGCTCAAGCTGTTTGTTGAATAAGAGCATTCCTAAGCATATTTGTTTGGGATCACCTGATTTAGAGACAAACTCAAGTGTTTGCTGACCAAGCAACCTTAGTATTCGAATCATCATGCATGACTTATCAGGATCCAAATTCGACAGTTTCTATTTCAACGTGCGGATCCATGCGTGCAATTGTGCGTCAACAGGAACCGTTGAACCCATCCCTGCACGTGAAATGAGGATTACCTTCCTGATTAATCAACACTTTGGAAAATACTTTTGGAGTTGTTGTCGGGAAGTGAGGCGGTTTTTTCTCCCCCCCCCCGGGCCCTTCAACACATCGAATTGGGCAGGGAGTGGCTGGAATTACATTTACGGCCCCCTGGATAGCGAACGGACTTGAAGACCGAGTCTTCTTTGGAAAAGTGAGGCCTCTAGCACGGTTTGCGAGCCATGTCCTTTTTTTGAACCTGGAGACGTGGCGATGGTTTTTCAATGGAAACTGGTGAGCTGATCCACGTTTTGGGGGAACTCAATTTTCAATGGAAGCCACTGGTGACCTGATTCACTTTTGCTGCTCCACTTTTGCTGATCCATTTAAGCTGATTCACTTTTGCTGATTCACTTTTGCTGATCCACTTTTGCTGATCCACTTAAAAAAACTCCTGGCAGGCGTTAGGCGCTGAGGTCAGCGGCTCTCATGGGGACTACAAATTTCACTTGGCCGGGCCGCGGGAGTGCGTCGCCGTGACGGGCGAGAGAAATCTGGCGCCCTTCGTCCTCATGGCCCCGGAGAAGCCGCTTGGCCTTGGTCCGCTGCGGAGGGTTTCCCAGGATACGGTCTGCCTGTCTTAACTTCCAGTTGCTTAAGATGTGTTTCCCCCTTATTTTTAAATGTATATTGTCCCTTGTTGGTTTTAAGGGGAATGTATCACTACTGGCAATATGTTGTTTTTTGCCCGGGGGCTTGAGCAAATGGAAGTTGAGACGAGCTCACTAGGGGTTAAAACGAGCTCACCACGATACGTGTGGTTGTTTTTGGGGGGTTCCTTATTTGTGGTGTTGGACTTATTCTATGTTTTGGCAGATACTGCGGATATTTTGCGAAACCCAGGAATCGCACCGTTCAGAACCCCCACGGAATGAGTCAAATCACCTTGAAATACAGTAGCAAGCCATGGTATCAGCCATGGTTTCAAGGTGTTGCAAGGTTTTATCCATCCACAGCAGGGCTGTAAGGGGATGCACAACAAAGAACCTGCACAGCAGTTTTGGGATGACCATTTTCCTTTTAAGGGGACCCCTGTGCAAGTTCTATGTTTCTTTGTGGAGGGTGCTATATAAAAGGTATACAAGGTCTGCTTCCTGTTCTTCTCTTGATCGGAAGGAATGTTAGAGAAGAATAGGAGGCATTCTGTTTGTGAAAATTCCTCAGGGTTCCCTGTTAGGTCCCCCAGTTGCGCCCTACCTTTTTCTTTCTTTTTTTTCCGTGGAGGGTTCTCCTACTAAAATAGACTACGACTACAGAAAGAAAAAAAAACACGGGTACCAACTTGTTCTAGCCTCTCTGCTGGAGGACCTAGCCTGCTTTGGAACATAAATCGATGGGTTTTTCTTTGGGCATTCAACAAAGGCCTTCTGACTTGAACAGCTCGATGAGCAATGGCTGCTGGGGTTGCTGGGCATGGTGTTCCAGAGTTCGGTTCTCGCATATGTCTGATGTTCTCAAAGAGGCAAGTTAAGACGCGTATTCAAAGCACCTGCCTGTTTCTTCGGGAAATATGGCTGTGGTTGTCAAAACCCATGGGTTTAGTGGTTGGATTGGGATGTTCACTGGGGGTACGATTTGGATGTTGACCCATGGCCATATATGGGTTTTTCATTTTCCTTTGTTTCACCTCTAGAAGCAAGAATCCCAAAACTTTCAAGGCCCCAGATTGAAGGGCGAAGTGCCAACTGAATGATCAACACAATGCGAAGAGTTCGCTCGGCAAGCCGATCTTCGGCTGACGGGCTGAGTTTCGCCCCTTGAGCCTGACTTTGTAGGTGACAAGACGTGCCAACGTTGAATCAACTCAATTTACTTGTGTTGCTTGTTTAGTCATGTGTTTATTGTTTGTTGAAATTTGTGTTTATTGTTTGTTAAGATTTGTGTTGTTTTGTCATTCATGTATTTATGTTGTGCTTGTGCTTATTTACGTATATGTTTCATGTTTTGATTTATTGAGCTACGTTGCTGTATTTAACTACGCATTTGTTTGTTTACTTAGTGATTTGCTTGATTAGGTGTTTATGAAGTTTATTTACTTAATTCGTGCTTATTGACTTGCTTTGATGTGTATGTGTTTGTTAATTTAGTTAGTGCTTTGTTTACTTATGTGCATGTCCAGTTATTGTTTTCTTCTTGAGGTTCAATTTGTTCATTTGTTTGTTGATTTATTTATTTATGCAACTGTTTATTTGCTTATGTATTTGTTTGTGTATGTATTGTTTGCATTTAACCATTTTTTTAGTTTCACGAGGAAATTAGTCGGTTCATTAGTTTGTTATGTGCTGTTATTATTAGCATTTGTTTGCGGGTTGTGTTTTCGTCCGTCGTTGAGACTTTGTTTTGTTGGTTGTGTAAGTTATATATGTTTGTGTTCTGGTTTAGTGTAGTTTTGTGTTTGTTTATGTAAGTACAGAATTGTTCTATTTGTTGTCATGTCTTACTTGATGTTTCAACCAGACAACATCTTATGTGCTTTTATACATGTGCTTTGCTTTCATGGTAAGGTATATGTTTGCTTTAGTATGTGTTTGTTTGTTGGTTATGTTACATGATTTACGTATTTGTTTTATATTTCTGCACGGCTAGATTGATACACATGCCTCGAAGCGAGTTGGTCTCCAGGCGTGTGCCGGTCCAGGGCGACTGGGCCGCTCGGCAAGCCTTCGCTGGGGCGAGGGCTGGGTTCGCCCGTGGATGTTCAGCCCACCAGCTCACTGAAAACCGGTGCCCAACAGAGTGGGTGATTCGCCGCGTTAGCAAGTTAGCCAGCAAAAGCTCAGGCGACGGACATATTTTTAGCTGCTAGCCTGGGAGTGTGAGGGTGCCAGGCCACTGAAAATTCAAAACAAGCTGGTTCCAACCTGGGTTTTTGGATGGTTTCCTGTGAAGAAGGACGCAGGTTGATCAATATTCCATTTAGGGCCCTCAGTTTCGACGACGTGTAGCTTTTCCCATGTTCTTGTTTCAAAGGTTCCCCCAGTGGTCATCCCATCATCCCAGGAAAAAACCGGACCGTTTGATCAACCCCGTAGTAAATGCTTGGCGTTTGGCCACTAATATCAGGGTCAATCCCACTTCGGGGGACTGAGTGAGCCCTAGGTTGCCAACGACGTACGTATTTCGCCAAACACCCAAGTAGGGCTTGCTATGTTCCCATGGGCCGAGAAAGTCTTGGGTAAAAGGTGGCAGTTGCAAGTGGTTTTAATCATTTTCTGCCATTTGTCGTTTCCAATTTTGGACACCTAGGGTCGTTGCCGTTGCTATATATGGAGGGTCGACTGCTCAGCCTTTTTTTTGCCTGGGCAGCCACGGGCAGACTGACAGACCTTCAAGCCCTAGAGAGTAGTCCGTGAGAATAACATCCTCGTTCTGCTAGGTATTTGGCAAGTTTCCTCTCGAAATTCCTGAATGCTGGTTGTGTTGCCAGCAAGCCAGCCACACTCAACCACATCATGGTAGACTACTGTGAAGGGATTCCCCGTTTCCTTTGTTAGCATTTTATATTGTTACGTTTTGGCCTTTGGCGGGGGGGAGCGGGGAACGTACTCTCGTCTCTTTGGGCCCTTGCGGATTCCTCAAGTCTTGACGTGGCAGTCAAGTATGGAGCATTTGGGTGTGGCTTTTTGCGAGGCTACGCTTGTTGCGATAGTTTTAAAGGGACACCCGAATCAAAGCAACCATTTTGGGGCGCTCTTATTTTGAAACCCACCCATTTTGGAGCAGATGCAGCTTGCTAAGAAAAGAGCAGCCTTTGAAATTCCCAGCCATTGAAGCAAGCACGAAGCAACCAAGCAACCAGCCACCCAGCCACCCGTCCCTCGTCGTTCAGATCTCTGGCAGCTCGATGGCAGCACTGGCCTTCTTGCTCCAAGTCACAGAAGACGACGAGGAAGGGACCAAGGGCTGATCCGGGCGCTCATCGTTTTCTTTATTTCTTGAGGCCAAGTTTCCATTGCTGTTGAGGTCAAGGTTTTTGAGGAGAAGCCAAAAGGAGACTATAGTCACATTTGGGCAGTGCATGCAAGTGTGTTTTTGTGATTCGGCAAATATCCTCTTTTTGGGGGGTTAAGGTTTGGGGGGAAGCCAAAAGAGAAGCCAACTAGTCATACATTTGGGATGCCGGATGCCGTATGCCCATGTGGCGTCTTTTTTTCAGGGGCCTTTCAAGTTTCTTGTTTATGGTTGTGCGGACCTCGGAACATGGCAGACTCGCTGCAACTGTTGAGATCTTCAGCTTTGTTTGAGGCGGAGAGCCGGTGGAAAGCTGGTGCCTCTGTTTGTTGTGCTTGCTCTCAGCAGTGAACCGGCGACAAAACCAAAGCCGCAAGCCGTGCAGGAATTTGGGCGGGCTTACCCGCTGATTTCACTCCCCCCCCCCATCCGTGCTGGACGGCTATGTAGGCTCAAGGAAGCTTGCCTTGGTCCCGAAGGGTGTACTCAGGGTCCAGGCACGGCTTCGGGTTTTGGTTAGCACATGCCTTACATTTGTGGAAATTCACAAACAGCTCACAGATTCCAAGAAAAGTGCCATGGTCCGCTTTGTGTTTGCTGTTCTTTGCGGCGGTGGCAATTTTTGCTTCTGCCTTGTGTGGCCGTGCCTTTGACCGTGCCAAGCAAGCAAGCAAGCAAGCCCACCTGCTTGAACCCCAACCTCAATCCAACCAAACCCAGAAACGTGTCCCAGGCATGGCACCTTGGCAAATGGAGGCAACGCCCAAAACCGCCGCTCGTACATGTTGACCCAGGATGAAGCAACCCGTCCCATTATGAGGGGGGTGTTCCCTCCAAAAGTGGTCTGATTCCCCACTCAAAGCAAACACCCCCCAATCAAAATCCACCAGGGGTGAAAATTTCTCCGGGGTTGACATTAATTTTGAGCAAAGCCCACTTGACCACCCGCCGCAGGACGAGGCACTGGAGGCAGAGGCGCTGGACGGCCCAGGGGTAGAGCTGGGTGCGGGTCGTGGGCTGCTCGGCCTCGGCTGTGCAGCGGCTGGCATGCTGGTGGAGGCCTTTCGGCGTCCCATCCACTTGTTGGTTTTTTGTTGTTGTTTTTTTCTGATTGAGCCACACCCGAAACTTTGCTGGTGCTAGGTAGCTTTTTTTTTCTGATTGAGCCACACCCGAAACTTTGCTGGTGCTAGGTAGCTTTTTTTTTCTGATTGAACCACACCCAAAACTTTGGTGCCGATAGCTTCCATTGGCTGAAAGGAGTATTTGTTCTTTTTTTATGGCTGGTTTGAAAGGGAATCTATCACTGGGCTTCAGGAAATGGAAGCTCCGGTCGGGGGAGTGGGGGCAAGTGGGATGAAGTGGGGAGAACCCAAGCCTCTTTTGGGGTTACCCACCGACTAACATGGGCTTGTGCACAGGCCACTCTAGAAAGACTGCTTTCCTCTTGGCAAGGGGAAGTTCATAGCTTGTTTTCTGTTTGTTGAGGTGGTCCCTTCAAAAACGACTTCCAGAAAAGGGTGCCCTCTTGTTCCTATGGCCAGGGTTTGGGGGAGGGATGGGGGGGAATACTGCTGCCATGGGTATGATCTTTCATTTGCGGTTCCGTTGGAGAAGCCAATGAACAAATGTGAGGAAATTGCTTGGTTGAGGTTAGGAGGTCCTTTCTGTCTTTTTGAGGTACTGTGGTTTTGCAACTGCAAAAAGGTCCCCTGCTTTGCCCTCGTTTTCTTCAGGTTTCCCCCTTCTTCTTTTTGACGGGGTGGTTTTGGGCGGGGCTGACTCGGCAGGTCACCGACCTGGAGGAGGAGATCTGCGGCGCCCTGCGCCGCAGCGTGGGCGCCTCGGACCTCGGCGCAGGCTGCGCCGTGCGGCGCTTCGACTGGGACGAGGGGTTGGAGGCCTACGGCGGCCTGCAGCCGCCCAACGAGAACCTGGCGCCCTCTGCCCCGGATTTCTGGGGAGGGCGGAGGGGGGGTGGGGGAGACCGTGGGAATTTGTTTTGGGGGGGGAGATCGAGAAACAGGAAGTTGGCAGGTTTTTTGAGTGGGGGGATTAGTTATCTTTCAGGGTTCCACCCCGACTCGGCAGCTTGAGACAGCCAAGTAGATCGTTTGGTGTGTCATGGCCAAACCGACCCGATGATTTTATATTGCGGTTGCGCGCCTTGCAGCGCGATCAATCTCACCGGCTGAGAAGCGATGGGAACGAATGGCAGAAATCCGTGTGACGCTTTGTGCCCATGCGCTATATCAGATGCGCGAAAAAGGCCGCAACCATTCAAATCCGTCAAAGATAAAGTTTGCCTACACCTGCCCAGTGGATCCATTCACCTGCATAGGTAACCAAGGGCTTGCCACCCTTGAAAGCCCAACAACGACAAAGGCGAAGGGTTACCTATAGTGGCAAGACGGATTCCTCGGATCTGGGCTGGGCCTTGTCTCACAATGGATCCTGATCCAAAACTTGCTGGTGCTCAGGTATCCACCAGTTGGATGGCCTTATCAGCCTTATCAGCATCATTCTATGTCTCATTCCATGCCTATCGCACCAGCCAGAAAAATGGGCCATGGGTCAAAATCCAAATCGTACCCTCAGTGCACATCCCAATCCAACCACTAAAATAGGTTCTGAAATGGGTGAATTCACCTACCAACCAAAATAATCCAACCACTAAACTAGGTTCTCAAATGGGTGGGGCACCTAAAAATAGACTAAACTGGGTGGGGCACCTACCAACCAAACTGGGATTTCCCAAAACGGTTTGGACCACCACGGCCAAAACGATGCGCCTCGCCTCGCCTCGATCTATAAGGCCTCGCCTGGTGCTGGGCGCCGAGCTGCTGTGGGCGGAGGATGCCGTGGATCCGCTGCTCGAGGCGTTCGGAGTTCGGTCGACGCGGTCGGAGATGGAACTCCCCCAGTGCCCCCTCTCACCCGAGATGGGAGCACCGTCGTTTCGCGCTGAGACATTTGCCAGGTACGCGCGTGCCGGTTTTTGAGACAGGCCTTGTTGTCTTCCAGTGTCCAGGTCACCCAGCTAGGTACCCTTTTTTACCGTTTCTTTGTTGGTTGGGAGGGGAACCCCCTATCTAAAATAGAGTACAGAAAAACTAGGGTAGCCTGATTCTAACCTCTCTACTGGAGAATTTAGGAACCTTTCAGGGATGAAAATGCCGGACATAGCTTCAGCTATTAGCTTGCGACCTTTGTGGACTTGTGTTGCCTTAAAAAAAAAAGTTGCTTTTATTTTCCCATCCCATTGTAAAGTCAACTTTTGCAGGGGGTCTGGACCAAACATGGCTTTCGGTACCTTTTGTTCGACCGCCAATTTTTTGGGCTCGCCCACACCAACTTCGGAACTTCGGGAAATGGAAAAGCCCGAGGCAGTGCTTCCAGTGGTCTTGGCGGGGGCGAGCTTCGTCTACGGCTTCTCCCAGCGCCCCAGCAACGAGCTCTTTATGCGGAAGCTGCAAGCTGTGGAGGGCACCCGCCTGGAGAGGCCGAATCGATCCGAAGCGAATCCACGGAGCTGGCACCAGGAGTTAGGCGGCAAGAGGTTTGTGTGTGTGTGTGTGGGTGTGTTCTGTGTGTGGCTCCTTTTAAGTCGAAGGTTCCCCGCTAGGTGAATTGCAACCCACAATGACGTTTAAGGGTATCTTCATTATTAGGTGGGGTTTTCAACATACATGGCACCCCATGTAGCCGGCTTAGCCCGGCTTGCCTTTTTCCAGAAAATCCAGAAAGATCAACGGAGGTTTGCGAAAACACATTTGGTTGAGATCTCTTCAACTTGGTTTGAATCCTGTTTGAGGTTTCAGTTGAAATCTGAGTGACTGAACGTGGCTCTACACAGAGGGTCACGGACTGGGACTTAAGCAGTGGAACTTCCGATGGCCATGGACGGCCCTCGTGGATATGTGCATTGGCCGTGCAGAATCTGCTGAGCTTGACCGGGCGATTTGTCAGATAAAAGTATATATATATATACACATTTGGGGGGCGGGATTTTGAGTTGTTCCGGCGTTCCTTGACCCAGCCTCAATCTCCGCCACCCCTTTTTTTTTGCGAACTTGGCCATCAATCGGAGAAGCCAACCCATCTGTGCAATCACCTTGAGCCCTTGGGCTTCAGAACCGCTCCAGGTGAAAAAAAGGGAAGTCTTCGCGGCCCCCTGGTTCAACTGGGGCGCAAAAAAAAAACCGACCAAGCGCTGCGTGTCGGGCGCCGATGCGCAGGCGCAGCTTCCGTGTGGAGACGAAATGCCTGGGCTGCGGCGGCTGGCAAACCCGGGAGCAGTGCAGCGCCGCCCGGCCGAAATCTTTGCCTCCGCCCGCCGCTTTGATATCGAGGGACGAGACACGCGTGGGGTGCAACACGCCGGTTTTGGCTGCTTCCTCTTTTTTCTGTTTTGAGGGAGCGGGGGGGGGCGCGGTGCCCTTAAAGGCAGCTAAGAAACACCCGGAGGGTGCAAATCCGTTTTTCCAATTGTTTTTTGAGAGGGTTGGGAGTAGCGAAAGAAAAGGTTGAACAGTTGGAACTAAATATTTGGAATAATTCTTCGTTAATTAAGGAGGCCGGCGCATTGGTAATGCATCGAATTGTCGCGAATACCCAACCCCAAATGTGTACTTCCCAAAATGGTCGCTGAAAGGGCCAAATAAGTAGAATTGGGTTGTGGCCGACTTTAAGACCAACAATTGTCAGGATCGCAAGTATTTAAATATTTACGTACTCAAGGCGAGAGATAAGGGTCCCCCACCAAAGCTAGTCAACGATTTGGTGGCATTTCAAACGCTACAAGAACCCCTTAATGTGGGTTGTTCACAACTAATGTTCCATTCGCCCCAGGCGGGTCTGTTGGAGGAAGCACATGTTCGGACGGCTCGCTGTGGGATTTCGGGGCCCGCTGGTCCGAAGCGCAGTCGTACTTTGACCCTGGAAATACGGATTCCGCAATGTTTGTTCCATTTGGCATCCCGGGCTGTTGTTTCACCACTACGTCTTTCCTGCCGCAGCAAACAAGATCAAACCGGATGTGTCTCCTCCTGTCGGCGGGCCTTTTTTTCACTTTTCGATTTTGGCGCATTTTGCTTGGATGATGGGACTTTAGCTTTTTGCCAACTAAAGGGTGGGGTTTCCCTTAAACCACGAAAGGTTGAACTTTTAGCAGGGCAGCTGAAAGCGACCGTGCCCATGTCCTTTTCTTCTGGAGCGACCCAATGGTTCTCCTTTGCTCGAGCTGAGGTGGCGATTTGGAGCTGCATAGAGCCGCCTTTCAGCGGACAGACAAGCGGAAAAGCCCGCGGCTGATCGAACGGATGGGGAGTCAGATCTCAAGTTCGCTGTCACCGCGTTGTTTTGGAATGCGTTTCTGCGATTTGGACGTGAACGAAAGCTTCTGGTTATAGCATTGTTCCATTACGTGTAGGGAAGGCAGCATTTGGAACCCCAAAAAGAAGGCGAGGCTTTTTGAAGCACTCTTTTTTAAAGCAGTCTTTAATCATGACTTCAAGTTATCAAATGCCGCAGGTATTTCCATCCAGATGCTGTCGGAGTTGGAAATCATGTCAAAAGCATTTTTTTTTCGTAAAAGGCCCGTTTGCAAGTGGCCTCGTCCCCCTTTTCAAGGTCCATTGTCCTGGGTGCTAAGTACTTCAAGTAATGTTGAACCCCGCCCCCAAGGGAGGATCAGCAAGGGTTCCAGCGACGGTTCGTCATGTCCCCTTCAACCTCAGCTTGATATAAATTGGACTTACTAAAAGGTTATGTTTTCGACTGCCTTCAAGGGTTGAATTCTTCAAACTTCCAACCACAAGAGGACGGTGAATGGACCTCATGGATGAACACGTTGTTCTTGCACCCCGCTTGTTCTACCAACTAGTGCCATGTCTTGAGTTTTGGGTGGGTAATATGAGGACATTCTGACGATCCCCCCCCATTTAAACAAAACATAAGACAAACAAAGGCAGCAGACAACGCACACTTCCCCAAAACTGGTCTCCAGTTGTGGATGTTCAACCCACACAGCGAAGCCAAAAAGGAACGCCACAATTCGTGTATATATATTTATACATACGTATATATATATATACACGAATTGTCGGGTATATAATTTGGGCGGGCGAGAGGAAGGTCCCGTCTTTTTCTTTGCAACCCCGGCGCCTGGCCTTTTTTGGCCGAGGCAAGATGGGGCTCCTGGCGGGGTGGTTGGTGGGCCGCGTGGTGGCCTTCTTGGCCACGATCCTCTCCACCAGGCCGCGTTGCCCGGGTCGGTCCTTCGGGGACTTCGGCGAGGCGAGCGTTGGGCGGGCGGCTTGGGTTCTCTTTAAAGGGAACCCCTAGGTTCATGTGTTTTTGTTGGGTTTACTGGGTTCATTGGTCTTTCTTTAAGGGATTCTTGTGTTTTTGTTTCTTTAAGGAAATCCCTACTGTGGATGGTTGCGAAATCCATTTCGCAGCACCTAAGAAGTCCTAGAATGATTCGATTCCCCTGTCAAATGCCAACAAACAAATGGTTTGCCATGGTTTGAAAGTGGTGCAGGATTTCGTCCATCCACAGTAGGTGACCTTTTTGGTGGGTTTGCTCAAAAAACAGAGGGCGATTCCTGGTTTACCTGGTCAATCATCTACAGGGCCATCTATTGTGCAAAAAGAACACCTATGGCTTGGCCAGAAAAGTAGCCGCATGGACTACATGCGTGTGTGTGTGTGTGTGTGTCTTTTGGTTTTACGTTGAGGGAACCACCAAGATGAGTGTTTTTAGTTTTCATTTTTAGTTTCTTTGTTGTTTTCCCTACCAAGAAGGGGTGCCCTCAAAAGAAGACTATATGTGACATGTGTCGTACACTGAAGCAAAGCCCGAGCAGTTTCCCCATGGTTCCCTCTAAAACCAACCAAAGGGGGGTTCCTCCCAAAAGATGGCATACCCATATTAGCTCAATTCCAGGGACTCCACGAGAAAGGGAGACTTCACGGGAAGCCCTGGAAGCTGGCCTTTCTGAGCACATAATGTGGGTGAATCATAACGACCTCACACGACCTCACCCCAAATGGTGGTTTACCATCCCCCAACCACCTTGTTTCAGGTTGGTGAAGTATTATAATTCACGACATCATGGGTGCATAACAGGTATGGTTTTCGAGGATGCCATGAGAAGGGATCAATGCCGGCCAGTAACGGCATCCAGTCAGACGCGCTTTGAAGCGTGTTTTCGATCGGCTGGCTGTCACGTTTCAAGTTGGGCTAGGAAAGGCTTTGAACCAAATCTACTCCATCTACTTCGGATGCATGTGGGCGGGTCTTTCTTCTGAGCCTACCCTTTTTGTTGTTTTAGTTGAAGGGAAACCACGGGGAACACTACCAATTTTGAGTTTGCATGTGTGACGTTTGCGCGGTTGGACGTCCCCACTTTCGGCGTGAGCCAGGGTCAGTGCTCCATTGCCTGTGAGAGCCGACGTCCTGCAGGTGGGAACACCGTGGTGTTTGTTTGGACTGGAATGGGGAGGTTCTTGGACGCGATTTCCTATCCAACCAAAGTTGAAAGACTCTCCATGAAAAGACATGAACCCGGATCCCGGCCGGGTCCCCAGTGAAAATCGGTCTGGAATTCATCCAATATCTCCATGTGGGGAAGATGACTTTGGGTCGATTCCGCGCAGAAGCTATGAGAGAACTGGCAGATTTCGACCGGCAGAGGATGAAATCGCGCGCCCCGAAGGTTCCCCCGTTGGCATCCATTTCGGGATGTACGGGATGCAAGGGGCCTTCAGTGAGAAAACAAACCAATGCCCCCTCTTTCAGGGGAGCTTGCAATATTTTGTGCATGACATTCTGGAGGCTTTATTGATTTGTTTAGAATATCTAATAATTGTGATTTACATGTTTATATCTAATTTAAGAATAATGATATCTATAATAATACATTGTTTTTTGAATTTAAATTATATCTCAAAAATATAGATTAATAATATAGTTTTTGTAAATAAAACAATATACCTATATATATATATATTTATATATACAAAATATTTACTTAAACAAATGAACCGCTTGACACCGCCTCACCTAAACAAAACAAACAAACAGGCAACGGAAAATACGGTTTATGAGTTCATGGGTGCTGTGCTCGGATCCAAAAAACCACCCTCGAGGATGTAGCCTAGGTCGCCCAGTAGTGCCCTTTTACGCTTTTTTTGGGAGAGGGTCCAATCGACCACAGGGGAAAAACAAGAAGCCTTTTACCGATTCTTTTGGGGGGAGGGTTCCCTTGCTACACTACAGAAAATGAGATACTCAGTTGTCCAAAGCCAACCTTTTGACATTTTGGTTTTCCCATTTTGGTCCATTTTTAGTAGAGGTGCCAAAAGGTTAACCTTTTAGTTCTGGGTCCTTTGGGCAACTGAGGATACCTTATTCCACCCTCTCTACTGGAGGACCACTCGCAACCAGACAACCAAAGGTGCAGCCCGAAAGGTGCCCTGCGGCTTCCGCGGTCTGCAGTTCGCAACATAAGGGGGCGGGGCAGCAAGCCCAGGTTGGGGCTCAAACTTCTGTGCTATGTCACGGATGTGTCACACATAGACACACACGTATATATATATATATATACACACGTTTTTTTGCTTTATATGTTCCCGTGGACAAGGGTTGGTGTTCAAGGCACACCAAAGGAAAACACATCTTGTCACAGCCAAATAACCCACCTATTCTTGCGAGATTCTTGCGAGTGCCCTTTTGAGACACTGTGGACCCTCTTTTGAATGGCTAAAGCGAACCCACGGGATACCCTACATACTTGTTCCCCCCCGGCAAGCAGGTGCGTTTTTCTGGGCGAACCCAAAAATGGTGTTGTTTGCTTTCGTTTCACAAAAAACCGGTACGGGACAGTCACAAAAGGCACATCCAAGCCCGTCCACGTCTGCAGAAATCCCGCTTCCGGATTTTTCCGCAACTGAAAGCTATGGGTCTGTTTCGGCCCACGCGACAAGGCTTGGGTTGTTGGCTTGGGGCATGCAGGGAGGGTTCAAAAGGGGTGATTATTCGAGCTGGGGATACTCTCGGCTTCTCTTCCCGGTTCTCAGGCCTTTATTTGGGAATCCCAAAACCGGTTTATTCCCAAAACCCAGAAGGTCAGCTTCCTTCCTTGTGGAATCCCCAACAAAAGGTTCATGGCCAGCACCCGATCTCGTTTGTCATTCCCTACCGCACCGGCAAGATTGGTTGCTTCTCTCTTCGACGGCCGTGGGCTGAAGACCTTGTTTGAAAAGCTGTCCCGCCCGTTTACGCTAAGTGGGGTCAAACCCCAGTCGCGGTCATTCCCTCTCGCAGCAACGAAGCTTTGGGCGACGCGAGACGCGAAGCGAAGAGTCCGGAGGCGCTGGGTGCTCCGGTGCACTGGCTGGTGGCATGCAGTGCCGCAGCCTGGCTTGGTAGCGCGGACCTTGGAGTTCCCGAGTCTGGGGGGGGACGGCTTGGGCGTCCATTTTGCCTGGACGGGAACCTGCCGCTGGTTTGGATTCAAAGGGGAATCATAGCAGGAAGCGAAACAGGCACCTCACAGGGAAAAACGGGAATCTGCCGCAGGTTTGGATTTGAAGGGAATCTACCATATTAGCAGGAAGAAATGAGACACCTATGAGGACAGTTTTTGTTCCCCTGGTTTTAAACTTGGAATGCACCACTACTGGAAACATGCATTTTCATGGGGTTCTGAAAATGACTATACGACTTGAGTGCCAGTCGCATGGCTGCTTTGGGGTCGACGTCCTGCGGGAAGTCCTGGAAACACATCTCTTGGTCATAGAAACGGGATCCCAATGGAAACGCCGGGCGTCTTCGCTGGATTGTCAAGCATGGCAAGCCTGTTTTGATCTTTGTTTTTACCTCACGCGTTTTGGGGCTCAGGGCACCACCTGTTGTTTTCTAGAGAGGGCCGCCGTTTTTTCGGCGAGCCATCCAAAGCGCAGGAAGGCCGAAGGCCGAAGGCCCAAATCTGAGAACTTGGGTGTGTCGTTGGAGTTGGCTGGACGTACGACTCCCAAGGGCCATAGCCCCGCCAAGGAACTGGACATGTGACAGCCTCCGAGTGTAGTCGGAAGGTTAATTATTTGGAATTACCACGTGCTTGTGCGTGGCACGGCTTCTCCTTTCAATCAGATGTGCAGAGGAGGCTGTAAGCAAGGAACGTAGGTGTAGAGAAAACTGGCCCAGCCAAGCCCAGTTGTGCAGCGCCATCCTTGAACCTGTTTTATGTGGTGTGCTTCCGGCAAAAATGGCAACCAATCCAAATGACATTTTGCTGGAATTTATGCGTGTTAAAAATGATGGTAGAAGTGAGGAATCATTTTTTTAAAATCCCTGTAGAACACCTAAAAAGTAGCGGGGGGCCCCATGATGATCCAAAAAGCGATGATTCAATTAGGGGCAAAAAATCCAAAAGAGTTGAGGGGGGTTGGGGCGGGGCTGCCGCATGATGTTCGAAAAACGTGATGATTCAATTAGAAAACCGAGAATGTAGATGTTCCAAGAACTGCACACAGGGGGCAGCCCCTCCGTGATGATCGAAAAAGTGATGATTCAATAGGGGAGCACAAGAGAGGAACTGGTGATGCTGAGAACGCAGGAAGCCACTGCCCAAAACCAACTGGTAATGCAGAGGATGCGAAAGGCCAAAGCCGCAAAAGACCCAATAAACAGCCGCAAAAGCCAAACAGAGAGGACCTGCGAAGGCAGAGGATGCAACATGAAAAGCCACAAGAGCCCGCATGTTGCTTATTCGCAGCCATTTCTGCAGATGCGCCCTGTCGAAAACGAAGGCTTCAGAAAAAAAGCCTTCAACAAGGAGAAACCTCATACTCGGATTTTGGCCGCGTCTCAGAAAGACCCGCTTGGGCGTCTCTTTGTTCGACCGGGGATTTTCTCCCGGAGGCCACCGCTTGGCGCCAGGTCTGGCAGTGCGGCGGTCTGGAGATCAGCCCACGTGGAAGATCGGATGCCGGGGAGCCGGGATCGAACCGACTTTTTGGCGCAATGGCCCGACGCGGGAAGTTTTTTGGGGCGTGGCGCTCGAATTGTTTTTAAGAGCCGGGGCAAACCGCAGGCTTTCGTCTTTGGTGCCATCCAAGGGGGCCACTCGTCTTTGGCTCCATGTACCAAGAAAGCCACTCTACATATTCTTGAGGCACAGCCATTCATTTACCCAGGGGGCCACTCTACATATTCTTGGGCCACAGCCAGTTAGATGCTGGTGCTGGGAATGAGCCCCGGGGGTCCCCCTGAAAGGAAACCACCAGGATGGTCATTCCAAAGCTCTCATGCCCTCATCTCTCGCACCAAACTTGGCGAAGGCAGTTGGCTCCAGTTGCCAACCTCGGAAAAATCAGTAAGGCGTGATTCGGCTTTTGTGGTAAACACGCCTAGGAGAAGATGCCAGCCACATGTTGCCATTTGTCAGCACCAAGTGCAAGAATTGAGCTTTGGGAAGTATTTCTGACAGCGCGCTTCAAAGTTTGTGTGTGTGTTTTGCAGGGCCACATGTGAGGGCGTCTTCTTTTAAGGGGACCCCCACCCCCAAATGACGGTTCGCATTTTTTGGCAAAACCAGTAGACATGGGCTACCCTCTAAAATGACGTACCCATGAAGGCGTTTTGTTTCCGTTTTCGTCGGGTTTGGGGTGAGTTGGTGTTTCTTGCCTTTTTCGCTTTTTTTTGTGGGGTGGCTTGGCGGTTGAGGCTACCCTTGACATCTCCGGTTTTGGAGACCATCCGGCTAGACTTGCTGCCCCCTGCCGGCTATTAGGAATGACCCGTTTGGGGATTCCCGATCAAAGGAAACCATCGGGGATGGTAGGTCCTGCCCTCATTCCCTGCCGAGAACCAGCAAGTAGAGCAATGTCGCTGGTGAGTTTCGGTCCGGTTCCGTATTCGGCGAAGCCATTCTTGGGGATGTCAGGGCTGGCCGATGCGCCGAGTCAAAACAAGCAGCACAGCTCATCAGGTTGCGTGTTTGCTTTCGAATATTCGTGGGAAAGACTGCCGGACTGCCGGACCCCCATAAACTGGGGCTGCACAGATTCACATATGCAACCGCTTCCCGGTGACAACACTCGGGTCTTGTCATAATTTTGAAAAACGCATATGATGGAGGCTTTTGTCAGGTGCAAGCAAGAGGCCAAGTGTCAAGTGCAGCATCCTTTTGCTCCAGAGGGGCGTCCTTTGCCCGGTTTTTTTTCGCTGGATTTCACGGCGCGCCCAGAAATTCTCGCAGACGTGCGAGGTTTTGCGGCTTGCATCTTCACTCTGGTGGGCTGACAAGGCGATTCTTGCGGCACTCCCATAGAATGAGGAGGGAGCGCTTGGGGCTGTCACTTGTCACTTTGCAAGCCTCGGTGGGGAGAGAGGGAGGGAGGGAGTTCTCCTAGCCTGCTGGATAGATATGGGGCTTCGAGCTGAATCATGAAATGTGGCGGTGTGTCCGTTCTGACAGTGGGTGCCAGTGACGGCTTTTGGAAGTCCTTAGGGAACTCCAGCGACTTGGTCGGATTCGGTTCCAAGCGAAGCCCAAAAGAAAACCCGGCCACTGGCAATGTCGCCTTGTGTTGAGGTCTCGGGCCACCCGATCGGGAGAAGCCGTGATTGGCTATGGAAAATCACGCGTTCTATGACCCAGAGGAAAAAAACACAAAAAACACGAGGGCGCTCTGTGTTCGGTCGACTTTAAAGGGAACCTCCTCCCCCCCAAAAAAACACACACACACAGAGAGAAACACAGAAACACACACACAGAGAGCGCTGTGGGATGCCACATCTCCACGTCTGATCCGGGAAGCTTAGCTCAAGCCTGCGGTTGAGCTCACAGGCGACAGGTGGTTGCGAGCCATGGCGAAGCCGGGTGTTCGGTTTCGGGGAGTTGGGGGGGGGGGGGGCAGTTTGGAGGGTGGGATTCGTCAAAGGACTTGGGGGGTGTTCTTGTTGGAGGGGGTGAGATTCGCCTGCGTGCGTGCACGACCATTCCAATACCTGAAGCATGGATTCACGCGCTTGCCCACCTGCTAATCACAAAAGATCTAGGTAATGCACTTATAAGCAATTGTTCGGCAACATATTGTAAGGCCAACCTATTGATATACCATTTGTTTGGAGATATCGCTCAATGTTTTGCCGGCGTCACCTGGCTTTGCCCACATGTTTTGTGGTCTTTCCCGAACTTATCCGTGAGCAACTGCAGGTGCTGCCAGCCTGATGCGATGGGCCAATTTGTACATAGTGTGGGCGTGGTTGTCGTCGCGGGGTTGTACTTACAGGTGGGTTTCACTGGTTTCAGTTTGTTTCTAATCGTGCAATGCAATTATTACCACCTTTTTGGTGAAACCAAGGACACCTACCATGCCAACTTGGGGTTGCTATGCAGCATTTGCCGGACCTTTTGCAAGGAGCGCGGGGCGAAGCCAGACAAAAGGGTCAGCATGGTGACGGGTGCCCATCCAAAAGGGGTTCCCTCCAGAAAAAGAAAC